GTCATAAATTGTTTTTGCTGTCTTTGTTTTTTTTTTATTTGTTTTCTATATAATTGATTTCTTTCGCCTAAATAAATGAATTGTGTGCTGCATGTAAGTGACGTATCGAACTTTATCGATTTTGTACGATGACTGACTGTTCGATGATCTTTCTCTCAAGATATTCACAAGCTCGAGTCGAAAAACTGTAGTTAACTTATAGAAGCTCTGCGAGTCTTCCTCAGCGATGAGATGGATTAATTTTTTCTTTTCTTTTAATTTTTTGCGTATCATTGACTAAGTAAATTATCTCTTATGTTTGCTATGGTTATTTGGTCAGCGTAACTGCATGCTACAGCTGCATGCTATATTATGCACTTGGTTTTGCGATCCGAATAATTGAGACTCGATCCGAATAATTGAGACCCGGCTATTAACGATTTCAGGAAGAGGTATGCGTACCCTTTTTAAGTCAGTGCGATGAAGATCACTGCTCGATATCCAGGGTACATTCATGACGGATGGTTGTCTGCTCATTTATAATAATACCGAGAGACCATTTAATATATTCGGTACAGTATTGTGAATCGATTTAGGCTTCCGCGAGCCGATATATATACACTCGCATTTGAATTTACCCGTCAAGTGTCGGTATCGGGAGCTGAGACTTGGCCCACGTATTCTTTGTTAACGATTGCAAATAAAATTTGAAAATAGGCGGAATACGTTGACATGAACGGACTCATGACATATGATAACAACTTTTTTCAATATCATTGTAAAACTTCAGCATGAAAATGGGTGTGATTAGTCTAGAAAAGCAAAAAAATTGTATCTTACAATCCCTGGCAAATTCAAGTGACGTCAACGGATATGACTACAATTAGTGATGTATTTTCGAAACTAACTGGGTTTAGTTGTCGACCATTTATCAGTTACCTTCAGCTTGTTCCAACAGATTTGGAGTTCGTTGAAATAAATGGTTCCGTTAACGTTGGTCAATTTTCTCATTACGCACATTACTACAGGCCACGTAATAACGTTCATAATGAATGAAATGAAAGCAAACAATGAATATGTGAATATCTTGAATGAATCTATAGTGAAGATTTTTGTGTGTTGCGTTGATTATCATAAATTATAATGAAATAATGTTTTTTTTTTTTTTCAGAAAAAACAAAAGATTTACTTTAGAATTTCTTTTTCTTTTTTGTAATAAAAAAATTGTCTAAAATATATGTAACTAGAGAGAGAGAGAGAGAGAGAGATAGAGAGAGAGAAAGAGAGAAAAAGATATATCTAATATGTAATCATTGTGATGTGAATGTCTGATGATTTTCTCCTTTACTTTCTAACAATTCGTTCATTTTGTTTTTGTTTGTTTGTTGGTTTGTTTGTTTGTTATTATGTTTTTTTGTTTTACGATAACTTTTTTATTTGTTTTGTTTTTATTTTATATAAATCTTGTTAAGTATTGTCAACTATTTACATCCCTTGTTTTTTCAATAGAAAATACTTTTGTTTTATATATGTACGTGTGTGTTTGCATGTATGTATATATGTATAAGTAAGATTATTTAATTAAAACATTTCCTCCATATATTATGTAATTCTTTTACGATATTTCATTTATCTTTAATTTTTTGTTCTTCTCTTCTTCCTCTTTTTTTTTTTTTTTTGTTTCTTTTTTCAAATGTTTTATATTACATTTTACTTACTGTGCAGAGGCTGAACAATTTTCTAAATTTCATTTTAAGATCTATTGATTTCCTATAGCGGTTAGGGACGGGATGGAGGAATAGAGGGGAGGCTTAAAGGGAGATTTTCACTATTTTTTTTTATTTTTTAATGTTTTAATTGATTCAATTATTTACTTCATTTTGTTGTTTTTCTTCTTTTCTCTTATTATTATCATTATTATTATTATTATTATTATTATTAATATTAATTTTTTTTTTTTTTATATGGAAGTTTCCAACGTTTACTTAGTTAGTTGAGCAGAAATACTGTTCGTTTGTTTGGGTGTTTGGTTCGTTATTTCTATAATCTTTCTATGTAATTTTTGTAGATATCCGTCACCATCGTCATCACCTCGAGAGTTGAAAGGATTGCAAATCCCTTTTAGGCAATAACACTTTGGACGACTTTTTTCGTTGAAATTTTTATGTAAAGACTACAATCCCACTCAGAGTAGAGATATTCTCAATTTACACTTGAATTGCTTGAGGATAACAAGGATAACAAGTGAAGAAAAGCCCTGCAATTGCAAACTGAATCTGAACTGATCTTTTAGAAATAGATCTTATCGTCTTTGGAAGGCTACCACGGTCGGGTGCTACGGTCAAATCTTATCGATTAATGATGCACTTGTTTACGTGTTCCATATTCAAAATTTGAAAACTACTTTGTTGATACATCAGGAATCCTAAATATTCTTAGACCTTTAGCGTAGATTTCATGTCACGGCATATAAATTGTGCATACATATACATATGTGGGCGGCTAAAGCAATTGCGAATGATATCTACTTAACGTTTACAGCTTCATCATTCTACCACAAAAATTATACTCTTCTCTATTCTCGTTCGTCCGTCCCTCCATGCGTTCGTTGAAATTCGGACCAAACGGTTAAATATGAAATATGACGCGTTTGCAAAAAATGAAAAAGTAAGACTTTGAAAGTATTTATACTATGTCAAATTCCAGAATAAATTATGATATAGGTTAAGGCCGAACCGTGCAATATTTGCCTATACAATGACAATGCGACAAAATACAATTTTATATTTGTATTTAATGAAATAAAACTGAAATGATTTTCGTTTTATTTTTACCCTATTAACCCTATATACCCTTCTTAATCCTTACTTTTGCTAGGGCTTTAAACAGGATGGGCAATTCAGTCGTGTAAGTGTATTGATTCGAAACGTACTTTGAACCTCGAAGGTAAGTGAGAGATGACAACTAACTAAAATTCGTCCAATGACGCAAATACATTGGCTCGTTCCCATTACTTTTAGTATCATTTCATTTCATTTCATTCCATTTCATTTCCATTCAAGTAATATCAAGAAATATAATCAAATGTTAACGAAATTTAATTTTCTTTTCTTTATCTTTTGTTTTTCTTTTGCTTCGAAATGCTTTTAAGCCGTTTTAATGAAAGGTAAATAATAGAGAAATGAAGCGTTTAATAATTAGAAATTATTGTTATTTCCTTTTTTGTTTTATACGTAAATGCAAAGTTTTTTTTGAGACTTCTATAAAGTTGGCTTTTATTTCATTTTCATTTTACTCTATTTTAATGAAGTTTACCTTTCGCTTTATTAATTTATTTATTCGGATTACTTTCGTAATCTCTTCTTTTTTTTTTTTTTTTTTTGAATTTCATTATTTTCTAATTAAAGTAGTTTTTATGACTTTTTAATTTTTTTTTTTTATTTTATTTTATTTACTGTTTTCATACTTTCACTTTTATACCCACTATTAATTATATTTTTATTTGTCGGGTGGTGGGGGAGGGGAGTGGCAAGCAGAAAATTTATATGTATACATATATATACATATATATATATATATACATATATATATTCTTAATCGGGTTATTTCCACTACCTGTCCTTTAGTTTGTCTGCCTGTCTTTTTCGAACCCACAAAATTGCAAAAACTTAGTGAGATAGCGATGACATGCCCCATATGGTCTTATGTCAATTTTAGTTTAAAAATTTCCAAATAATCTTCAATTAAAGTCACAAAGGTATGAAATGGACTGAAATTGCAGTAAATATCCTTATCACACACGCACACAGGTTCGTTAAAAAAGAACTAAACTTTGTAAGGAAGAGGAGGAGGGGGAAAATGGGGAGGATGAATAATTCAATTTCGCCTGAGTAGCCGAGTAGGTAAGAACCGCGACCTTTCTTCTTCAGTCACCGTGTTACATGAATATGTGGGACATCCTCTAAGTGATTGATCATATGAAAAAAAAAAAAAAAAAAATTCAAACAACAAAGAAGAGGAAGCAAATAAATAATCATTCGGTTGACAAGAACATTGATATTGACTGAGAATTGGTGGGTTTTCCCTAAAAAAAGAATCGTAAATTCTTTCAGATGCCTGCAAAGGCCTACGGTAGCGAACCAGTGCGATAATTATCCCGATATGCTGACTAATATGTGACTCGAAGTATGGGATATTTAATGATTTTCATAACATTGCTTTCGTTTCACTCTCCGGGCCATGCAACGAAATGAATTTTGTCTCGGCAAATTGTTTGTACAAGTTTTAGTGGTGGGTGCATCTCCTAAGCATCGCCCATGAGGTGAAATTTTAGTTTTCTGAATTTAGTCTATCTCTTTCATTAAATATTTTTCCCCTTTATTATCTTCTTTGCTTAATAATGTATTTTATTGATTAATTAGTTTATTGATTAATCCAGTTTAATGTTAATTAATTAAATTTTTTTTTTCAATTTTAATTATGTAAAAAAATTAGATGTGTTAGATTTTTCTGTTTTTTTTTTTGGGGG